TTCTTGCAAAAACTTAGACACTGTTGCAATGAAACATGGCTGTATTATATAGAGAAGAGACCAAAAGCAGATACAGTGAATAAAGAGGTCACACCTCTTTGGGACTGTACTATTTTTAMTGTGACCTGTAACCGTAGTATTTTTAGACATCTACAGCCTATTGTAAAATGCACAACTTTGTATAAGCCAACAATCACTTTTTGCAGAGGTTAAACCAGTTTTTCTGCACAATTGCCCAGCAGAGCTAACAAAGCTGAATCTATGGTCGTGAGTCRGAAGAGCAAGTAAAACTCTTGTCTACTAGAAAGATACAACAGTGTATGGAAGTGTTAAATAAAGGTCTGTATCACTGCATGCACCTTTATAGTGATATATTTTTAAGCCTAATTCTAAGAACAGAATTTTCCTAATCCAGTAGTGAAAGACTCTTTATAGTACCAAAATGTACCTTAAGCTTTTTTAAAAGATTTTCTTTCTTGAATGAATATTTAAAAATCCAGACAATGTAATTGTGCCTCGAAAGAGGAGAGGAGGAAAATCCCCAAAAGTCCACAGGTTTTCAAGGCTCTACAATAAAGCCTGAGGCCACTGCCTGGAGTTCTATGGGAGGCAATCGAGGCTGACAAAGCAAGACTTGCTGCCGTGCAGGTGCGATTAGAGGAAGCAGAGTCCTCTCCATTGCACTTATGTGCTCATGGGATTGGACTTTAATCTTTTTTTTATGTTGTGAATAACATAACCATACTGTTTTCTATATGTGCCATACGTAACATAGTGACCAGTGGGTACGCAGATACCCTTAAGCTGCAAACACACAGAAAGAATAGATTTAAACTTATTAGTTCTTCTAAGGTAGAACAAAAGAGCTATTTTTACATTCAAAATGCAGAATAGTTAAGTCATTTATAGAGAGATCCCTCCTACTTCTTGGATCATGAACTGGAAACAATTATAGCACTGCCCAGTGATAAAAAACTGACAAAGGTGTTTCAATTCTAGTCACGAATGATAAACAGCATGGAGGTGAAACGCTACAGCTGCCGAATGATAGAGATTGTTGTCAGGATTAAGTAGGAAGCCGGTATTTTACTGGCTCAAGAAAGATTAGCCATGTTTTGAATATGAGATTATGAAGTAATTAAATAAATGAAGACACCTTTCTGACACAATGTCATTCAGGTGTTTGACTGGGAAATCTATCAGCCTGTTCCATACTAAGTGAAGTTGACTGTGCTAACGTTGCTGAAGGGCTGAATTTGCTAAGCTGTGCTAATGCGTGTGTTACACATAGCTGAACATTAATTCAGTCATTAGTTCATAGATTGCCTTATCGTGGGTAAAACTYCCACAAGTTTGGGTGGAACCAATGTGCCACTGCTTTTTATTAGTTTGACCCAACCGTCCACAAGTTGAAGACATGGCTGACTTGAGATCAAATCATTCTTGACCTCCACCGGGTCAAGAAAGTAATAACTAGTGTGTCTCCATAAAAGTTCTTCCAAAAAGAGGCCATGTAGTCTCTTGAGCTTAGAAAAGCTCAGATTATTTAGTGTGGTTTGTGTATGGCAGGGCTGAAATGCAGCAATGTCTGGGGTGGAAGGCATGAGTCAAGAGGAGCTGGGTACAGCTCAAYGGCAGTGAGTCATGCGTATGCTCACTGGGGAAACCTCTTACCCGTGGGACTTAGGATGGTGCAAGATGTTTAATGGCTGTGCAGAGAAGACAAATTCTCTGCTGTTAAAAGCCTTATGGAAAAGACCATACGGAATAAACTGCACAGTGCTCTCMGTCTAAGGAAAAGGCTTGTTTTCACCCTGCCAGGAGGAAGTTATATAAACCTCATCTGTCACCGACACTAACAGTTTTATAGAAATGCCTGTGTGTGAGAGAGATGTTGGAGAGGGATCCTTATCCTGGACCAGCATCGCAAGAACAGTATAGTCTGGCAGAGAAGTGAAGGTGGAGCAAGGTGCCTGAATCTGGATTTACACTCGAATATACAGGACTTTATTTGTCTTTCCTTTATCTGTTGCTTTTATTGGGCTATATTGAGCCCTCCTGCAGGCATGTAACTACTATTAGGTTCTTCAAGAGGAGAATGCAATACGTGGTAATGATGTAGRCATATGTTTGTTCTCTGCTGTTAAAATTAATAAACCCTAATTGTTTTTTTCAGTCTCAAAGACTTTCAAGGTGGCTACGTGCTAGTTAGGAATTGAATTTAAACATCAGAGCTAAGACCAGAACTGCAGACCTGCAACTGGGAAAATGCCCAGCCCTGCTCTCCATCTCCTCATTTCATTAGGGAGATCTTTCTCCTCTTTTAAGGAAAAGCGACTCCTTTCACCATAATTCCTAGGAAAATACGTAGCTCCCTGTATCTGCACACCTCCTCCGTATTTTCAAAAGCAGATATGCCTTCCCCCTACACTCCTCTGAAAGCCAGGGCACTGAAAGAGCCTCTGCTTCGTTATTTGGTGTGGGTCTCATGAAGAACTCTCTTCGTGGTGTGGGATGTGTCGACCAGCAGAAAGGAGCTCTTCAATAGAATTTTGGGATGGTTTTCCTGATGTTGAAATCTCATTATTGCTAGACACTGAAGACTCACTGACCAGGGGCAGCCGTAATCTGCCCAGTCCTCATAAAAACTGTGTTTTGCTGATTTTTTCTTTTCTTTTTTTTTTTTTTTTCTTCCCTTAGGCCAGCTTCATGTCTGCAGAACGATTCAAAGCACAGCAGTAGCTAACAGATCTCTGCCTGGCACATCCCGGTCTCTCTAAGGGGCCACTTTCCTCTGCCTGGCCCTGCTGCCACCCTGAACAGCACCCTATGCCACAGCGAAACCACCCCGACTATTCAGAGCAGCCAGCCTTCTGCCCAGGCCGCTGCCATCTCCCTTCACAGGGCCAGGCTGCCTTTCCTCAGCGGCAGAGCAAGGCCCGGCAGCCACACACGCCCTAGAGTTACAAATTTTGCCCCGAGAAGGGAGGAAGCGGTGGCAGCTGCCGATTAAAGCCCTATTTTCCCTCAGTCGTCCAACYGAAACGCGTGGATTCAGCTGAGGGACCGCCACAGAGAGCGACCGTTACGGAGACTGTTACAGAGACCGTTAGCGGCGCCCCGCCCCGCGCCGCCTCCCGCAGCTCCAGCCCCGGCGCCGGCGGCCACAGCACCAGCACCAGCACCAGCCCGGCCACCACGCTGCAGCGCAGGTCAGGGCGCCCCGCGCGGCCCGGGGCGGCGGGGGGTCACCCTGCGGTTGGGATCGCCCAATGAGTTGGGTTGCCCTATGGTTGACGTTGGCCAACGCGTTGGGTCGCCCTATGGTTGAGATCGCCCAACACTTTGGGTTGCCCTATGGTTGACGTTGGCCAACCCATTGGGTCGCCCTATGGTTGAGATTGCCCAATGCATTGGGTTGCCCTATGGTTGACGTTGGCCAACCCATTGGGTCGCCCTATGGTTGAGATCGCCCAACACTTTGGGTTGCCCAATGGTTGACGTTGGCCAACCCATTGGGTCGCCCTATGGTTGAGATCACCCAACACTTTGGGTTGCCCTATGGTTGACGTTGGCCAACGCGTTGGGTTGCCCTATGGTTGAGGTCACCCAACATGTTGGGTCGTCCTATGGTTGACATCACCCAATGTGTTGGGTGGCCCTATGGTCTAGGTTGGCCAATGCGTTGGTTCACCCTATGGTTGAGATCACCCAACGCATTGGGTTGCCCTATGGTCTAGGTTGGCCAACACGTTGGGTTGCCCTATGGTTGACATCACCCAACATGTTGGGTCACCCTATGGTTGACATCACCCAATGCGTAGGGTTGCCCTATGGTTGACATTGGCCAATGCGTTGGGTCACCCTATGGTTGAGATCGCCCAACGTGTTGGATCACCCCATGGTTGATATCACCCAATGCGTTGGGTTGCCCTATGGTCTAGGTTGGCCAACACGTTGGGTTACCCTGTGGTTGAGATCACCCAATGCGATGGTTTGCCCTATGGTTGACATCACCCAATGGGTTGGGTTGCCGTATGGTCTAGGTTGGCCAACGTGTTGGGTCACCCTATGGTTGACATCACCCAACATGTTGGGTTGCCCTATGGTTGACATCACCCAATTCATTGGGTCACCCTATGGTTGAGATCGCCCAACGTGTTGGGTTCGCCCTATGGTTGATAGCACCCAACACATTGGGTTGCCCTGTGGTCTAGGTTGGCCAACGCATTGGGTCACCCTATGGTTGACATCACCCAGTGTGTTGGTTTGCCCTATGGTTGAGATCACCCAATGTGTTGGGTTGCCCTATGGTCTAGGTTGGTCAACACATTGGATCACCCTACGATCTAGGTCACCCAATGTGTTGGGTCACCCTATGGTTGAGAGCGCCCAACATGTTGGGTTGCCCCATGATCTAGGTCACCCAATGCATTGGGTCACCCTATGTTTGAGATCACTCAACTCATTGGGTTGTCCTGTGGTCTAGGTTGGCCAGCGAGTTGAGTCTCTCTGTGATCTAGGTCACCCAACACGTTGGGTTGCCCTGTGATCTAGGTTGGGCAACACCTTGGGTCACCGTATGGTTGAGATCGCGCCATGTGTTGGCTTGTCCTGGGGTCTAAGTTGGCCAATGTGCTGGGTTGCTCCATGGTCTAGGTTGGCCAACCCATTGGGTTGCCCTATGGTTGACGTTGGCCAACCCATTGGGTTGCCCTATGGTCTAGGTTGGCCAACCCATTGGGTTGCCCCATGGTTGACGTTGGCCAACCCATTGGGTTGCCCCATGGTTGATGTTGGCCAACCCATTGGGTTGCCCTATGGTCTAGGTTGGCCAACGCATTGGGTTGCCCCATGGTTGATGTTGGCCAAC